CAAGCATGACAGTTTTTGATCATTTTAATACCTACCATGACTTGCGGTTCAAACACCTTGCATGGTATCGAATGAAATTGATGGTATCTACGGCAGGAAATATAGCGTAATTTCACTATAATAGTGAGATACCACTATTATAGCGGAATTACATTTCCCCCCAACCTGACTATTCCCCATGATAAATTAAAGTCAAGGCTTTCTGAAATGCTTATTCAATGCTTATTCAATAAAGTTGGAACTCGGAAATTTTCTTACATGATTGTCATTGGTCATTTCATTTGCAAATTTACTTTGTTAAAAACAATCTGATTGTACACAGAAGTACTTTAAAGCCTCGTTATTTGCAGACCTATTTTTGTTTTCATGAAGCAGAATTTGTTCAAAACTTTTACGTAAAAAGAAAACACTTGCTGTGGCTTTCAACTCGACATTTAGAGATATCGACGTATTGTCAATTAACAATGATTATTTCCGTTCTTATGTGGACACGATATATCCTGATGAGCTTGAAATAAAACATACCACAGAATCTGACATGTCTGTTTCATATTGGGATATTTTACTAGAAAAGACGTTAATGATTATCTAACAAGAAAGCTGTACGATAGACGTGATGACTCGTCAACTTCTCTTACTTATCACCGGTCACGGTAGCCTAGTGGTAGAGCGTTCGCTTCGTGATCGGGAGGCCCGAGTTCGATTCTCGATCGCGGCGCCGCGTCATACCTAAGACGTAAACAAAGGTAGTGACTGCTCCTTCGCCAAGCGCTCGGCACTAGAAGTGAAAGTCACGGGTCTTTCGGATATGACCTTAAAAACGTAGGTCCCGTGTCACGGTAGGTGCTGGCACGTTAAAGAACCCTCACTGCTCAATGGCCCTGAGTGCCGAGTATAGGTCAAAATTTGAAGCCCTTCACCGGCATACGGTGACGTCTCCGTATGAGTGAAATATTCTTAAAAGAGACGTTAAACAATATACAATCAATCTCTTACTTATGCAGTAATATACCCTTTTCATCTGCATACGGGGGTTATATCTCTCAGTTGATTCGATACGCAAGGGCATACTCTACGTATGAACAATTTCTAAAACGAGGTGAGGTATTTACAAAAAAGTTGAGGAAGCAAGAATATCAGCAATCTCGTTTAAAGTCGTCATTTCGTAATTTCTATGGTCGATACAATGGCCTTTTCAGCAAATACAAACTATCATAAAGACAAATGCTGACTGGCTTTTTCATACTAATTGTTAGACCATTACGTATACACTAAATTGTCAATGGATTTTCCCGAACATGACAAGGAGCATGGGGCGGGTGTGACCGGTCGGCAGGAGATGTTTACTCCTCCATGGTACCTGATCCGCCTCTGATGTTTTAGAGGTACATGTTTGCCTTGCTCCAGGTTTGTATTGTTTAATTAACTTTTGAGCTTCCTTATCTCCACATTTATATCTCCAGGGATATTTATATTTGAAATATGAAAGCTCTAGCACCAACTCCTCAAAAATTATTGCAAAGGTTAAATTTCTTTCAAAGTAGGTAAAATTCCAAGTTTAAGGTAAAAAATAAGGTACCCAAGGAAAGTTCCTATCACAATACATGTAAATAGATGTGAAATATAAAGTATGAAAGACTGAATCCCTAAAACCAATAAATAAAAAGTTATAGCCAAGGGTAATGTTTGGTAAAGTTTTGCAAAAGTGGACCAAACTGTAGGATAAAGTGGTCAAATATGTTGTTACTCAAGGAAAGGTCTTGTTACAAGAAATGCCTTTCTGCTATAATAAAGTCATAGCTCCGTCGATTACAGGGGCATAATAGATATATATTTTGCACTAGGAACACCAGTTGGTTGTCGCACATGGCAGTTCATGTATTGTTCTCTAACAGAGAGACCACAAACATTAGCATGAAAGATGATTAAAATGAACTTTACAGGAAAGCAATTTATTGAACTTTTCAGGAAAGCAATTTATTTATTTAAATCTCAAAAATCAAAATTTGAACAGTATTAAAATTAAAAATTCTTATTAGAAAATGATTTGTTTACAAAACACCTAGGACATCTCTACGCAGTAAAAATGGCGAAAATTTATAGAAACTTTTTCAAAAAATAAGAATGATCCTTAAACCCAAGTTTTACACGCCTTAACCCCTCTGTCAAGTCTTCTAGTTGAGACTATATGACAGGTTAGTTCACTGATCTAATAATCGTCCCAATCCGTAGGATGTCCTGAAAACCAAATCAGTGCAGTGCAGAGCATTACTAACACGATTAACAGGTGAGGGGAACTTTCTAATCAACACATGTCAAAGGTTACTGTTCCTTTATGTGACGGTTTCTTTGAAACCACTGAAAAGAATGGAAATTTGTAAATAAAAATATTTTACGAAAAATTCCAAGCAAGCCAAGATTCAACTTAATATAAAATAAATAAATAAACTTAATGTCAAAGGTGTAAGCAAATTCTTTGTGTGCCTTAAAACTGTTCCTTGGTAAAAATACCTCTTGAATGTCACATTTTTAACATATTGTTTTGGCAGAATACTAATTTGTTATGATTCTGGAATTACAATGCCTGAGACCTATGTGTGAATGGCTATCATAGTTATCAATATCGCCTGACAATTTACGAATTTCCTAGTAAATGCAAATCACTTATAAATATTGTCAACAAAATCTCAGACGTATACTTTTTACAATAAACAGTGATTTTAAATTTATAAATTGATAAATGGACCTTTTATCTATTAACAATGTGTTAAGTACTTCCATTCATAGGTCGACTCGATATACCCCATTTAATTTTAAAAGTTTATGCCACACATGGTTTATATTTACTGACTATAGACGATAACGACCAACTAACAATTTTACCGGTAACTTCAATTTTCCCATCGTCATATTTCCTTATTTATGTAATAATTTTCTGCTATCAACAGCAGGGAATACTAGTATCTGGGAAATCAGTGACAGCCAGGAAAGTCTGGATGACAACTGAGAAAGGTCAGTGACAACCTGAAGAGACAGGAGACAGCCAGGAGAGACTGGGATCAGGGGTGTGGAGGCTCGGCAGGCCAAAGCACAACTTTCGTGAGGGAGGACCCATTTCATCACGCTATGGACAGATACATACTTAGATACCCCCGAGGTCGCGCGAGAGCGGGGGAGGATGAGCGACCTGTTGGGACGGAAAATTAGGATACAACCAGGCAACGAAAAACGACGACGATTACGAACAGTGGAAATGTATGCAGCTGTGGGAAAGTATGCAAGAATCAAAAGGGGCTGAAAATCCACATGGGGAGGATGGGGTGTAAGCCAGATCAGCAGCTAACACGACGCACAGGGCAACCTGGTGAGACGGAGGAGGAAGTGGTTCAGGACGAAAACCACAGTGACCGCAGCCTCCATGTGTTAGGTAATGATGAGGCTTCATACAGTGAAAGCCATGACAACAAAGACAACAACCAATCACAGGGCAGCAAACAACAGCAAGAAGAGATGGGAGACAACAGGGGTACTGACAGTAATATAAGAAAGAGGAAAGTAAAATGGCCAAACAGTAACAACAAAAGTTACTGGGAACAGTTTGACCAAGATGTGGATGCAATTCTGAACACAACCCTTGCAGGCAGTATTGACAGGAAAATAGAAGCTAGAAGGAAACAGCGAGATAGAGCAAGAGCAAGATTCACTGCAGACCCATTTCAGTTTACATCAAGATTACTAGGAAATAAAGGGTCCGGATCATTGAAATCTTCGAAGGAAGACGTTGAGAAGTATTTGAGGGAGATGCACCGCGATCCACATAGGGGAGTGGGAGCAGTTGATACATCCGGAAGAACCAAATCAACCCTTTGATGAATCACCACCAAAACTAAAAGAAGCAGCAGATGTTATCAAGAAGGCCATAGCAGCATCAGCACCGGGACCAAATGGAGTCCCGTATAAAGTTTATAAGAATTGTCATTGACAAAGCGCCTCTGGAAACTGATAAGAGTGATTTGGAGGAGAGGTCGATTGGCAGATAGCTGGTACAGAGCAGAAGGCTGCTTTATTCCCAAAGAAGAGAAATCAGAGGCACTGAAACAATATAGGACTATATCACTCTTGAACGTAGAAGGGAAGATATACCTTGCAGTTTTAGCGAGGAGAATGTCTAATTACATGCTTGAAAATCAGTATATTGATATCGCTGTGCAGAAGGGAGGAGTACCCGGAGTATCAGGATGTATGGAGAATACAAGTGTACTGACACAGATAATCCGGGAAACCAAGGAGTCTAAAGGGGAGTTGGCAGTCATCTGGCTAGATCTAGCCAATGCATATGGGATAGTTTCCCATAATCTAGTTGAGCTGACACTCGAAAAATACCATGTACCAGAGAAGACGAGGGCAGTTTTAAAAGACTATTTTGACCATCTTCAACTAAGATTCACAGTACAGGATTACACAACACCATGGCAACGCTTAGAAGTTGGTATAGTCACAGGATACACCATATCCGTAATCCTATTTTCAGCAGCAATGAACATGATAGTCAAGTCAGTGGAGAAGAAGAGCAGAGGGCCATGGATGAAGTCAGGAGTACGCCAACCACCAGGGAGAGCATTCATGGATGATATGACAATTACAACTAAAACAGTTATTGAAGCCAAGTGGACAATACATGAACTAGAATCAGCTATCTCTTGGGCAAGAATGAAAGTAAAACCAAGCAAGTCTCGTAGCTTGGTTATAAAGAATGGAAAAGTAAAAGAAGTAAGATTCAAGATTGAAGGAGAGGCAATACCAACAGTCTCAGAGAAGCCAGTAAAGTGTTTAGGGAAATTCTTTAATGACACATTAACAGACAGACAAAATGTGAAAGAAACATGCAGACAGCTGGATGAATGGATGAAAACTGTGGATAAAAGTGGACTGCCTGGTAAATATAATGCCTGGATATACCAACATGGGATACTGCCTTGCTTGCTGTGTATGAGGTACCAATGAGCACAGTAGAAGGGATGGAAACAACAGCGAGCAGATACCTGAGGAGATGGCTGGGGATACCACGAAGTTTCAGCAGCATTGGATTATATAGCTCTGGGACTAAGCTACAGTTAACTCTAAAGTCAATAACTGAGGAATTCAAGGTGACAAAGGTGCGTCAACACTTAATGTTACAGAATAGCAAAGACGAGAAGGTTCGGACAGCAAAAGTAGATATCAGGACGGGGAGAAAGTGGTCAGTAAAAGAAACTATACAAGAAGCAGACTCCCGCTTGAGACACAGTGACATTGTGGGAAGACTGGCAATAGGAAGGCAGGGACTTGATGTCACACCAACAGCAAGATGGGGTACAGCTTCGGAAGAAGAGAAGCGTTGTTTGGTGCAGAGAGAGGTGCTTGCAATGGAGGAAGATTCAAGAATGGTCAAAGCAGTTGGAATGAAGAAACAAGGTAGCTGGGTGAACTGGGAAAACGCACGCCAAGGGAAGTTGGGATGGAATGATATTTGGAAGATGGAACCATTCAGACTTCAGTTTAAGCTGAAATCAGTTTATGATGTTCTTCCCAGCCCAACTAACCTGGTAACATGGGGAGTGACAGATGATCCAAAGTGTGTCCTCTGTGGTAAACCAGCAAACTTGGAGCACATATTATCAGCATGCTCAGAGGCTTTGAAAGATGGGAGATACACTTGGATAGAGTCCTAGCCAGTATAGCTGACACCTTGGAGAAAGGTATTAAAAAGCCAAAGAAGAACACAGAGAGCCTGAGATTTGTCAACTTTGTGAAAGAAGGTGAAAAGGGACATAAAGTTAGTGTTGAAGGAAGTGGTCTGCTGGGGACAGCAACAGATTGGCAGATGCAGGCAGACCTCAAGGAAAGATTAGTTTTTCCATCTGAAATAACAGCCACAAACAAGAGGCCGGATGTAGTCCTTTGGTCAATGGCTACAAGACAGACAATTATTTTGTTAACAGTGCCATGGGAAGATAGGATGGAGGATACTTACGAAAGGAAAAATCCTAAGTATCAAGACCTACTGAAAGATTGTCCGCAGACCGGATGGAAGGTCTGGTTTTTTGCAGTGGAAGTGGGTTGTAGAGGATTCGTGGGACAGTCTATGTGGAGAGCACTGAGAGCCATTGGCATAACTGGAGCAGAGAGAAGGAGACTGATAGGGAGTTTGTGCAGGGAGGCGGAATCAGCGTCCATGTGGTTGTGGAGAAGAAGAAGAGCGGATAAGTGGAAAGACAATAAACATTAGTGAGATAGACAGTAAATTAGAACAGCAGTGATAAACAACAGTAAGACAGTCACTGAATTAGTACAGCAGTGATGTAGAGCCAAGTGGTTCCAGGCTGGGACCTGATCACCCCAGTCGGCGCACCTCTGGAGGTTGTAGTGGACAGCGCCGAAACAGCCGATGAAGGAGGATCCACCTGAGGATGAAACCACGCATCTTTCCATCAAGATGTATACAAGTAATTTAGATGACAAACAGTATTCAGACTCAAAGGTCAATTAAACAATACAAATCAGGAGCTGAGCAAGCACGAACCTCTAAATCAGAGGTGGAATCAGGTGCCATTGAGAAGTGAGCATATTATATGTACGTCAGAGTATGTTCTGAGTATGATCAATTTAACAGAGGCAAACTACTGTCAGATAAGTTGATATTACAGAGATTTCAACAACCTCGTTTGAATTCAGCGTTTCCTAAAATTTATGGTCGTTGCAATGAGTATGTTAAGAAATATTACCCATCATTGGGTTGAACTTTCGTCATACCGATTGTTTCACCATTGTTTTTATACCAGTACTATAACTGAATGTTCTGTCTTCCTGATCAGTTCATAGGGATCTCGGAGAATACGATCTGTCAACACTTAACAGGGGATGCTTCCCTACTTATGTGCAACTGATTCCACCTTTGGACTCTCAGGGGTCCGTGTTTTATGTTTTTTATTTTATTTATTCATTTTTTTTTTTAAATACAGTTTTATATTGATTGCATAGATCGTTCGAGATCGATCTTCACCTTTTTTGTAATTAACATTTCAGATCAGGAAAGTTTTCTAAGGGAAAAGCTAGCTTTTCGTAATAGAGAATTATGATGTCGATGCATTCATCATTTCCATTATTAAATTATTTTTGCGGTGCTTAGTGTAAAACATTCTATAATTAAAAAAAAACTCAAATAGAGTGTACACGTACTTTATTTGAGACAAAATCGGCCTTGAAACACTTTTATTTATAAATAGCCTAAAGTGATTTAAGATGTGATGATAAATCGATTTATTGATTCATCGCTGTTTCGCGGGTGTGTTCATAATTTGTCATTAATTTCTAGGCCATAAATTATAAAAAAGTTCAGGAGAATTAAAAATTTAACATTTCATGAAAAGACCTTTTATAAGAATACCGTCCGGTCCAAGTTCTTGAATCATTAACATGTACAAACAGCATATATGTAATCAAATGTTGCTAACATTGTAAATCGTTTTCTTTTGTAAGCGAGATCTAATTTTTTGAGGAGGTGGAACGCCTGGGTTCACTTATCTTGTCATTGGTCATTTACAAAATTATTTTCTCCGTTGAAAAGTGGGAATATAATTATTTCCGTCCGTCCGTCTGTCCGTTACGCTTTATCTCTTATCCGCAACTCCTCTTATACTACTGAGTGAAATTTAATGAAACTTTCAAGAATCTTTATTATTACATATTGCCATTGTGCACCTCCTATTTTAATTTCTTATTCGACACGTATTTTAGGTTTCCCATAGCAAAACATGGACATTGCCATTATATGTTTACCTATATATATTCTGGATAACATTTGATAGGACGAGTTATTCCTCTTTACACATTACCGTAAAACAATATATAGCAACACATGGACATTATCAATTAACAGTGCCTCTAGATTTGTTCAAAATTATTCTATTAAGCAGAAATTATTCAAAAATCTTATACATGAGAAGAAGACGATTCTTGCTGTGGCCTTCAACTGGACATTTAGATATATATCAACGACATATTATCAATTAACAATACATTCATATGTCGACTCGAAATATCATAGTGAGCTTGAAATAAAACAGATCACAGCGTCTGTTTCATATTTGGATATTTTACAAGAAAAAGACGTGAAAGGTAATCTACCAAAGCTTTATGATGAATGTGATGACTTCTCTTGTTCAGTCGTCAGCTTTCCATACTCTTTTCCATGTAGCAGCATACCCTCATCACCTGCATATGGGGTTAAGGATCCTCAGTTGATTTGATACGCAGCATCATGCTCTTTCATTTCTAAAATGAGGCAAGTTATTGGCAAATAAGAAAATGAAACAAGAATACTTGTGAACAACCTCTATGAAAGTAATCTTTTTGCAAGTCCTATGATCTATAAATGACCTTATCAGCAAATACAATCTATTACTATTAAGTATAGTGCTAAATAAGTTTTTTTAATACTTTTTGTTAAGCCATTATTTACAAAATGATTTGTTCTAGAAAGATCTTTTCCGTTTTCCCTGATTATGAAAAGGAACACACGATGTAACCTGTCAGCAGGGTATAATTACTCCTCCATGACACCTGATCCCACCTCTGATGTTTCAGAGGTCCGTGTTTGATTATTAAAAACGTTATTATGTTTACATTTTTAACTTTGTATTGTATAAATATTATGTTACTAGAGAAGTCATAAAGGAGTATAATACACCAAAAATCATGATAGAAAAAAAACAACATTATTTTATCAACAAAACCCGGGCCAGTCATTTTTTTTCTCAAAACAAATACTTATCTAAAAACATTCTCCAGTACTTTCTCTCTGAAAGTGCATTGACTGGCACGATCTTTAAAATAATTCTATCACAGTTTAATTTCCTGATCTCTGATTAAGTATTTAATGCATATTTATTTTTCGTCTTGGAGTGTCATCAATTAAACAGACATGGAATTAGACTTTCAGATTCTATCGGGATCGAAGAAAATTTCTCAGTTCAAAAATTAGTCAAATTCTGACCCCCTCCCCTTCACAGACCACTAGAATGTCAATTATTCCATTTCTTACAAATTAAAAATTAATGTACATTAATTATCTATGTAATTAATATACTCTTGTTTATTATTATATATCTCAATATTTATATTTATTTCATTACTCATTCTTAGTTTATATTTAAATATAAATGTTTACCTTGGTTATTTTAATAACTGGGGGATTCCATTAGATATTTGGCAACATATGCATACTTAGCAAAATAATGTGAATCCTCCGGATTTAAGAGAAAGAATGGCTAAATAAAGTATTACACAATGTGCAAGTATGTGCAATACTAGTATATTAAAGTACTGTTTATGGGGGAAAACTTTAACCAAACACATGCATCTACTAACCAAATCCAGACACGTAGTATCAGGGGGAGGGGAGGGGGCTGTCCCTAACTTTTCCTGATGAAAATGGTAATAAAAGGCCTTTTACATCCCCATGAAAAGCGTTTGACAAATCATCCATGGAAAAAGTTAGAACCTACGCACTCATTCCCTTACCCTTTTTCACAATTTTCGAATTGGATATTTTTTTCCTTTTTTCTTCTCAACAATTTTTCAAGGAAGAAATTTCCACCGTACCACCCCTTCTCATAAGGGATACCATGTGTTTGAATTTCAAAAGTCGGTACTTGTTATTTATAAAATTAAATTTTAGGTTCTAGAGCATGGAATAGTTATAAACCAGCATTTTTCATTCGGACACATTTCAACATAAGCGGGTAAGAAATTAAAAAGCCTGTTCAAAAAGAAGATAGACACCTTATCATAAGCTGAAGAAAAGAAATGCAACAACTGGTCAACTAGAGAGATTTGGAGAGGGTAGTCCTTTGTTCAAATTTATTTTTGTGCAGTCATCTGCTAAGATAGGCATACTTATTTTAGAAAAAAAATGAATGCTCTGACAAAAATCTATTCTTTTCTTTATTTTGTTACTTTATTTTGCTGCTTTATGATAAACGTGATAACTTTAACTTTTCTATTGTCATCTTCCCTTATTTATGCAGCAATATACCTTAATCATCTACATAAGGAGTTTATATATCTCAGTTGATTCGATACGCAAGAGCATGCTCTACGTATGAAAATTTCTAAAACGAGGTAAATTATGGACAAACAAGTTGATGAAAAAAATATCAGCAGTCTTGTTTAAAGCCATAAATTCTATGGTCGATACATTGACCTTGTCAGCAAATACAATTGATCATTGAGTCAAATGCTGACTGACGTTTTTCATACTAATTGTTAGTCCATTATTATTTATACGCTGAATTGACGACGGGTTTTCCGTTATTTTTCGATCATGAAAAGTGACCGGTCGGCAGGGGATACTCACTCTTCCATGGCACCTGAACCTACCTTTGATGTTTTAGAGGTCCATGTTTGCTCTGCTCCTGTTTTGTATTGTTTTAAGGACTTTTGATCTTTAATACTGTTCGTTATCTCCATATGTTTCATTTCTTCTTTCACTATAGAACAATACATACATAGAAAAAAATACACATTGTTTAAACCAATGGTTGACACTGCTGCCATACTATCGTAATATGCATGCAAATTTTCTTCATGACCAACGCAGCTTTCATATTGTTCAATTAATGAATGATTTAATAAGCATATCAATATAAAACGACTATGATTAGTTATTTATTGTAATAATGATGATGGTCCTAATGTATTCAAGATATTGTTATGGACGAGATTTTTTAATGATATGCAATTAATAAAAAACACACACGACAATCATTTTAATGATTTACAAATGAATTTCAAACAGAAGATGAATTAGCATGAAAGTCTGTCGAATTTGGTTACATTTCAATAGTTAAGGTTAAAGGAGTAAATCATCCATGGAAGGTAAAAATTTATGTCGTCATGACAGTTGAGTGACAAATCCAGACGAGGGACGGCGGTTCCTGAAAATAAATAATTATCTCAGGAGAAAGTTTGCCAGAGCAGATCAACACGCGCTCTCAGAAAGACGAACACGGGAATTATGGCGGGAATTTGTATCAAATTTGGAACTCTTCTTCTTTTCATTTCTTGTGTACATGGTTATGCATACTATAGGTAGGAAAAAATTCTTCAAAATAAAAAAAATATTTTTTGGTTCACTGCAAAGAAAACTGTTAATAAAACATGTATGCTTTTGATTGTGTATTGATTCTTTGTCAGAGAAACTGGAAATTTAAAAAAAAAAATAGGTTGAGCATAACTTTTTTGTATAATTGCAGAGGTCGAATACCAAATGGACATAAAGTTCCTCATCCCTGTAACCCGACATCAGATAAGTGGTTAGGTGTGGGGCACATGCTGCCCGGGGGTAGGGGACCAAGAAATCCCTTCGGTGACGACTTTGCAGCTAATGGCCAAGTAAGTTTGTTTTTATTCTAAAATATACATACATACATATAGAGTTTTCTAAGTCAATCAGTGGAAAAGCGACAACTTTTCTGAAACTAATAAGGCATAATTTGCACCATAAAGGATTATTTTACGTCAGTGAACTAATACTAACTGAAATATTATTATTTTGTTAATGTAATGATTATTTTGAATCAAAAATAATTTTTTTTTAAAGAAGAATCAACTTGATGATTTGAAATGCGATAATTGTCAAAATATGGCTTACATTAAAATGTTCATTATCTTTTTTTTTCTTTCTTAAAAAAATTGAGATGTGATTTTGCAAGAGTGATTATAGTCAGTTTTACATGTCTGTATGACACTTCCTTATAAAACGAATTTATATCATGAAGTGTGTAATAATGCCTCTATGCACCGTCCACAATTAAATGTCAATGATTGACAATGTTAATTACTCGTTAGAACTAAAATTTGCATTACTGAAGATTCACTGCACAATTTTGGATAATATATTTGGCTTTTTTTTGGTCACATCAGTCAATCACTTGTTCTTTAGTTTCCACATAAATTGATTTTGTGATTAAATTTAATTCTATCATTGAACTCAAGTTCCAAAAAACCTCTCTATTTAACCCAGACTCCTAATCTCCCCCGAACCTTCCACAGATACAAAATTGATAGATTTTTTTATGACTTGATTATTTAACTCTTTTTGGAAAAAAAATTCTCGAAGCAATTTTATGTTTTTTGTTGCAAGATGAAACATTCTTTTTGTAGAATTTTTAGCTATTGTCAAGTTCTCGTTAAATGCATATATGTTGCTGAAACGCAGAGCAAAGACTTTTCAGTTTATTATATATATTTTTTGATGCACTGCTTTTCAAATACTTGTATATCTTTTGCATATAAAATTTAGAAAACAAATTAAGTAAAGATCTGTGATAAAAAAGTTGAAAATGTTGAAACTTTTATTGTAGTATTAATATGATTAGGAAATAAGACACAAATTTCTGTAAATGCTGTTATAGAATGAAAAAGTCTTTATATAGTAAAGGCATACACGTATGTTTTATAAAGACTTGGGCCTCGGAATAAATAGCATATGAAAAGCTTCAATTTACCTCTAAAAGATTTGATGGAATTGTCGGAAATCCCATCAAATCCATCCCATTTGATGGAAAGTGAAATAAAAGGTTGGGGATTTATGTAACTTTCTACTGAAATTTACCTATTTCCTGCAAAGTTTTGTTGAAATACTATTTTCCCGTATGTTTCCCAGTATTATGAATAAAAATGTAATGTAAAAATGACAAGGGATGAATTAATTGTCATTAATTAAGTCTAAAAATTAAGAAATTACAAATTTATATTAACTCTTAAATGCAGAGAGGATGCTAATACATTTAAGGTAAAGTGCATTTAATATGTTTAAAGGGAAGAAGCTACATGAAAAATGCAAACAACATCCAATTTTTGCATAAAATCATTTATCAATGCAGAAATACTGAGTTTAGATTGAGGCAAATTTTATTAAATAAGCAATAAAAAAATCTAACATGGAAATTGGACATTTTCAAAAAGTCAGATTCTTAGAATTTTCAAACAAAACTGATTAATATTCGCGGACTCTGGACAAAATGACAACATCTGAACTTTTTACCATAAACTCCTTTTAATCATAATTCTGTTAGCACTTAATAAATGTTATTCGGTGACAAATTACCATTTCACAAAAATTTGATAGGCATTATACAAATCACGCATTTAGTACACTGATTAAGAATTAATATATTTGTCAAGGTAACACGTAAAGTTTGCCTACATGTCATATGACGAATTTGACCAGATTTTTAAATAAATCTATAGATAATAAAAAAAACTTATTCTTGTACATTAAAATAAGATAACCTTTTGTTAATATTTTTCATTCATGGGCAGAAAGACAAACCTTTCTCTACACACTCTATGATTTCTAGATATTAAAAATAAATAAATGAAAAATGAATAAATAAATAAATAAATAATAAAATAAATAAATTGGAAAACTTACAAAAACATCTATAACAAAAGGCTAAACAAAGGAAGCCAGTTAAAACATAACAAATAAAATAAAAAATGTGAACATTACAATTGTACTTAATTGGCACCTAGTTAGAATAAATAACTTAATCTATCTAGCAGGTTTTTAACTTTATTAACACAATGGTCTTTGTACAAGGATCAAGTTTTCATTTGTATGCGGGATATGTCGTAGCTGCAGACGTTTCCCAATTGGTGGATATTGATATAAATCTCCTACGATCTGTGATTGAATGAATATAATGAGGGATTTAGCTCGGTATTTAAGCATCTTTTGGGATGAAAAGCAGAGTCTTGAAAATTCAGTATGTAAATAATTGCCTAACAAAGTATGAAAAAAGTCAGTCAGCAACCGACTTAATAAATTGTATTTGCTTACAAGATCATTGTACCGACCACAGAACTTAAGAAACGATGTCCTCAAATGAAGCTGCTGATATTATTGTTTCATCAACTTGTTTGTTCATATCTTACCTCGTAGTTAGAAATTGTTCAGACGTGGAATTTGTCTTTACGTATCGAATCAACGGAGAGAAATAAACCCAGGATGCAAGTGATAAGGTTATATTTCTGCATAAGTAAGGGAAGTTGACGATTGAAAATTAAAAGTCATCACGTTTATCATTTAGCTTTGTTGTTAGGTCAGCAATAATGTTTTTTTTTGGTAAAATATACATAACTGATTCCACCGGATAGATAGGGAAGATATGTGATATTTTCAATGCACATGCTTTTTTTTACTATATAATCTTGTCAAGTACAATAATCAATATAACACAGCTATCTCAAACTTCCACTTTGAAACATATGGAGATAACAAACAGTATTCCAGATCAAAAGTCTATAAAACAATACAAAATAGGAGTAGAGAAAACACGGATCACCAAAACATCAGAGCTAGGATCAGGTGCCATGGAGAAGTGAGCATCCCTGTCGAGTGAGCATCCTTGTCATGATCAGGAAATAACGGGAAAATCCTTTGTCAATTCAGTGTATAAATAGTGGACTAATATTAAGTATGAAAAACGTCAGTCAGCATTTGACTCAGTGATAAATTGTATTTGCTGACATTCACAAGGTCATTGTATCGACCATGGAACTTAACGAAATTATGACTTTATGACTTTAAAAGAGCCTGCTGACAATTAAACATCTTTTCCGAATTTCAGTAGGTCTACCAATGTTTTTCAGTCATAAATTGAACGAGGAAAAACAGTCCACTTGTAAATGGTACTTGTCTTTCAATGGGCCAAACAAGGTCTTATCCTCGAAAATCGAGGATAAGACCTTATCTATACCGGAGTTTCTTGAAAAATCTTGTAGATATTGAGCATCTATTCAAACACTGGAGAAAAATAGGATCTTTCTAACTTTGTTGGTGGCGTTATATGATAGCCAAATCTTAATAAACATTTACATGTAATTAAATAGCAATTATTATGTTTTGACAAGGAATGGACCAAGAAGTTGTGTTTTATGGACTCTGACGGTGATGGCAGACATAACGGTATCGAGCTGGGCGATCCCTGGTGTCAGTGGACCCCAGACAATAACCACCCCCTCCAGCTGGCCACCTCCCACCCAGGTAAGTCCTACCCTGTCAGTGGACCCCGGACAATAACCACCCCCTCCAGCTGGCCACCTCCCACCCAGGTAAGGCTAATAAACTCCCACCCTGAATAATCTCTTGTCCAGGTGGGGCAATAGGATACCAACAAGCAAACCACAAATCTCCTTGTGTATTCATTCGTTTCCAGAGCCATACGGAATTCTTTTGGTCTGGTTTCTTTTGCATTCTGCAGGTTAAAAATTTATTTTCTTTTCCGAAGCGCTCTTCTGATCACACATAGCTTGGAAGATTATCTACTTTTATTTTATGGAAATCAACTTTTTCTTGACACATTCATCAAAATTGATTTTCAAATGAACAATTTGAGGCTAACCACATCGATAAGAAACTTCCTTCTGTCAGATGACGAGTTCTCCACACATCGTGTCTTCTATTTGACCTTGCTGTCAGCTCTAATAACTTTAAATCATCAAATAATTATCACATAATAGATTTGTAAACAGTGGTACCACACAACACCTGTCGTGTGAAAGATGTGTGTCCTCCCGACAAAGAATTCAGTTAACATTTAATATTTTGATTAAGATATTCAACAGCACTCATTCTCCCTTTTTCTAAACATTTCCTTGTGCCTCTTTTCTCGTACTAATTTGTATTTCCAACTTTATGTACTTTGTACTTGTAAGAGGGTTAATAATTGTTTGAAAGAAATGCGACATTTGGAAAGAAATATCCCTCTGTATAACAGTACTCATCAATGAGAAAGATGCCACAAAACCCGTGTTAAGTTACTTATTTTATATAAAACTATGCAATCATTTCATACTTGGCTTGCAGTATAGGATGCTTTTTCTAAATATTGAGTTTTCGTTGGGAAAAATGAATAATAAATTATGAATTTCTGATATTTTGATAGGTATTTGCGACCCATTAGAAAGTCCCAAATGTGAAGGGAAAAACAACTGGTTGAAATGTCCAGACTTTGCCCAGAGATGCAACCATGCCACAACTGAGCCAGGTATGATTTATTCAATGGGTACTTTTCAATCATTTTGTTAATTTCATTCTGACTTCATTTGAATTAATTTAAAATACTTGCACACATTCTACAGGTGCCCATCGTTTGGAGATTCGTCTTCCTCGTCTGCACGTGCCCGCCAAGGAGCACAGCTACATTTGTCTGGAATACGATCTCCCTGACAAGGACGACTACCACCTGACCGCAGGTTTACCAATCATCGACAACCAGGCCACAATGGGCGGGGTTATGGTCTTCGCTTGTGGTAAGCTAGAGTATACTAGTACAAATAGTTGTTTTTATTTAAGATCTAGTTACATGTATTGTAAAAATAAGCACAACTATACACAATTTTACATTAACTTTTACTATTGTTACACAGAATCAAGTACTTATACTCCTGCTTCGAAACATCCTTATGAATGTGGGTTAAAGACTCGCGGAGACTGCAGACACTTGATTGGAGGATATTCAGAGGACATCCCAGGGATCTGTTACCATAGAAACGCGGGCATGCGCATTGGAAGAACTGGATGTAGACAAATAGTCATTCAGGTAACATCTCGGATATAATGAAAAGAGCAATCTACAATTGCTCTTACCAAGAAAAGAAAGTGTCTTTTTAATAAAAAAAAATCACTGTTAGGGATTTCTTTTTGATTTTCTGAACAGATTAAATGGAACAATCCAGAAGAATACGAAGATATGTTTGATTCCTCTGGTATTGCTCTCTATTACACCAACAAACTTCGCCGATTTGACGTTGGAACAAAGATCTTTTCTTCCACTCATTTTACCATTCCTGCACCAAGACCAATCTACGCCATAACATCCAATTATCCCAGCGAATGTTCACAAATGCAAATTAAATCTCCCATCTACATAACCAGAGCTTTCAACCACATGCATAACTATGGTAAGGAAACCACTATTTCTTTTTGCTTATGACAGCATTTTCAGCATTTCTTCTATGCCTACTAATAACATTAATTGTGTTCTAAATGATGTCGCCTTATCATCTACCAAACTTTAAGCATATACGGGTTCTTTTGATCTAATAGGTCCTGTGATTGTCTGACACAATGCAAGCTCCTCTGGGAATTCACTTAATTAAACCAGAACTTCCTCAATGCAATAACTCTATACAGAGTAAACGTTTTATTCACAGAACGATTCTTTGAAATCTCCCCTTTAAAGATGAACTAACCATTATTATCTTTACACTGCTTTGCAAATCTCAAGTAGAGTACGTTCACCCTTTTGCAAGACATAGTCGTTGCAGCACAGTTTTATATGAAATAATGTAGAGTGTGTTTAGAATGACAAGTCTGTATTAGGTAAACTTGGTAATAAATTTATAGGTGGATATACACTTTCAAAAATGTTACTCGGGTTAAATCTGTTGCTTACGGGCGTCTAATTCAAATACTGTAAATGTATTATATTTAGCGTGTACGATATTTAGCGGAAAATGATTTTTAACATGTTAGCGTAGATTTGATTTAGCGCAATTCTTGATGTTCTTATTTATGTATCAATGTTTAAGACATTAAGCGATGTACTTGAATTAGCGGAGGAATCTTTCCGCCAAAAGGGCTAAAAAGAATACACCGCTAAATGTAATACGTTTACAGTAATCTAAGTTGTTTAAATACAGACGTCAGAATACATGTATGATAAATGCTTATCACGATAAACTTTCTTCTGTACATGTACCCAACCCCATACTTTTTAACTGAATTAAATTTAGAAGATGGTTCATATAGCATGATGTCCAATTTACTATATGGAGGTAAATGCGAAATATTTTGTTGTTTTGTTGATGAGCGTTGAATGCGCTAAAAGATCATGCAGAAGAAACACAAACACAGAAAACAACAACCAAAAGGGGTTAAAATAAAAGTACGTGAAACCGTTTTATTTCTAAATAACATTAAAGACTACCTTCATACATAATTAAATAATTTAATTTTATCTGAGATAGTATCAATCGCGAACATCTATCATTTTATTTGGGACAAATATGGGTCTTGAAAACAATATACCATTGACACCAAGGCAATTCATATTATTAAACATGTATATAAATTGACACGAAATCGCTTTAGCATGCACAGCAGCGGCTCTAAAGCATTAATAATCAGAGTGTAAGAGATTTGAGATCTTTAGATCATGTTAATTAACTAGCGGCGTGTTTACTGTACATTTGATTTATTGTAGAATGTTATGCAAGAAATTTATTTGTAATGATATATATTCTTGTTCTATTTACAAAATACATAATTGCACATGCTTTTTACAGGAAAACAAGAAAGAGTTGAAGTTATTCGAGATGGCCGTGTTGTCAATCTAATCACAGACGAAAGGTTTTACGACATACATAAACCCAAAACCTTTTGGTAAGCTAGATACTGAAAAATTTACTTCCAAACATTACTAAATCATTTATTTATCCCGATTTGAGAATGTTAGCATAAATGATACAACCAAAGGTGTCACAATATACAGTATTTTCAACTTACCCTCTTTTTCATAGGCACACGAGTCCAGTTCAAGTTCTTCCCGGTGACATTCTTAGAATCACCTGTGTTTATGACACTCGCGAACTGAAACATCCGGTCAAATGGGGTCTTCTTTCAACCAATGAAATCTGTGCTTCTACACTAGAATACTACCCGAAAGGCAACTGGATGGGATCTACATGTTCCAGCTTTAAATCCATTCCGCTGTGTAAATTAGAAACGACTGGCGTGGCTAATGGATGCGATTTTAATGGCTTCTTTGGTGCATTACATAAAGATCAAAGAACATCTTCCCTGTTTCAGAACTGTACCAATTTAAATGTATGCACACCAGCATGTCGAACACTCGCTAAAGCAGCTACGTCACACCCTTGTTTGAATGGAGATAGTATGGATTTATTGCGATCACCTTTAACAGCTCCCAATAAGAAATTAAAAGTTTTCTTTAACGTACTTGAACTCTGTGGAGCATACACACCACCCAAGCATTCAAGCCAATCAAGGAGACGAGGTCGAAATAATCTCAACAATGATACACAGGAGTCTATGAGTTCCGGTATCGGAGGATCACTTCCGGGTCATCTTGTAAGTGGAATTGTACGGCTTATGTCTAAGCGCGGAGATCGTTAACCCTGCTTTGGTCCTGCTTGCTTTCATACCATCTATTTATTTTTACTTTGTGTGCTCTGCTGTTAATAAAAGTCCTTGTCAGAATAACATCTTGCTTTTCATATTACCTAACCCTTCGGCCAGTTGCTGTTTATTCTCTTTTTGAAATATTCTCTTACTACCCCTTGCAGATTGATCCTTCACATCTCAAACAGCGATGAAGTGATTGATTGTGATTCAGGATTCAGCATGTTTTGGTGAAATATGAGAACATTCATCGCGATTTTGATCAGCATTGTCCAGACATTTTTTGCTGATCATCAATGGATCCCGTTCCAATGTTGTTCTCTCTCTTTTCCTGCAATTTAATTATTTATTATTCTCATTAAGAGAAAAATCTTCATTCATTTTATTAAACGTAAAGTTGTCAGTCTCAATTCGTTATTAAAAATAAACTTAAATATTGCTTATAATTTGGTATTTAAAGTTATTTATAAAGAATCGAGATTGCAAACTTTAATAAATGATTTCACAACGATTAAAGAATCTTCCCCATGTATCAGCATGAATACAAGATATTTTTAACATGAGGTCCATTAAAGCGATTGCCTTTTTGGTCCGGTTTGGCAAATTTCAAGGAATACTTTCTGTTATTTTATCATCGTCTGTTAAATAGCAATTATGTGTTCAAAAGTTTTGACGAAACCCCAACTTTCAAAATGTAGTGTAAAATTGATGCCAAAAAAGTCATAATTAGTAAATGTAATTGCTTCTTCTCAAGTTTATAAATTTTACTACATACACTGAAAATTGCCGGACCCTTCTGTAAAAGTGATAGAGTCCTTCCATGGTCCTTGAGATGGAAATTTCTTAATAAAGAACTGGAAGAAGAAATTTGTAAATGTCTTTTTCTGTTATTTCAGTATTATAGATATGTGATATAAATATCTGCTGTTCGTGGACAACAAACTTCCTAGAAACTTTGAAATGTGATACTTTTAATGTATTGGAAAGCAAATGTGATTTTATGTACATAGATTTGTGAAAGTTGTTATGAATAAATATATTTATAGACATTTGATTTTTGCATTTTTATAGAATTGATTTTTAGACTCCTTAGGTAGCATTCTGTTCTTGCACGTCTGGAAAGCCTTCTGTTTTCATGTAAGATAAAAGAATAATCTAAATCTTGTACATAATGGGCTTTACGTTTCTACAGAAATTACCACTCAAAAACAAGATTATTAAACAAAATTCCACTCAGTTTAAATAAAACAAGGTTTTTTTGGTATAATGAAATATTTGCACTTATTGAAAAAATAGATTTACTAGTATTCTATAGCTTTTAAAAAAAATGGCCTAATCTTTTCTATCTTTGCATGCATCGGCATGTTCCGTATATATTTGACGATGACTTTGACAGATCGTTTATAGCAACAAACGTCAACTCTCGCTGATGACAAGCTTAGAAATATTTTTCATTGCTTTCAATGAGGTGTAAGCATCAAATTACTGTAATTCCAGTAAACACATAAAATGTGTCTGTATTTGTGCTCTAGTCTTTTGGTCTGTTCCATATTTGGATATTTGACTAAAAACGACGTTAATGGTAACCAAACAAAAAACTTTATGATAAATTTAATTTGTTGACTCCAACGTTTCTATCGTCAACTTTCTGTTGTAGCAATACATCCTAATCACATGCATCTCCCAGTTAATTCGATATGCAAAAGCATGCTTTACGTGTGAAAAATTTATAAATTGAAGTAAGCTTTTGATAAACAAGTTAATAAAAAGAAGAATACACGTATATAGTTATCATTTCGCAAGTTCTATGGTCAACACAATGACCTTGTCAGCAAATACAATTATAATACTGGTATATCATTAAGTCAAACGCTGACTGACGTTTTTCATACTAATTGTTGGGCCATTATTTGTACACACTTAAATCTGTATGGATTTTCTGTTTTCAAGATCATGAGAAGGAGCAAACGGCGGGTGTGACCGGTCATAGGGTCTGCTTACTCCTCCATGGCACCTGATCCCACCTCTAATATCTTCAGAGGTCCCCGTTCTCTCTGCTCCCGATATGTTTTGTTCCCACGGACCTCTGAGTTTGAATGCTGTTTTTTTTTTATTTCTATAGTCCATATGTATATATTCATTTCAAGACGTCTAAGCAGTATTTATCTTGTGTTTTACCCATATTTACATCTAAGCAAACTAAACAGTTACAGTTCATTTCTAAGACTATGAAATGTAGTTTTGGAAACTGTTGTTATTGGTGGAAGAGAAACAAAGACCAAAGGATTACCATTAGTGGTAGGCCATTTTGCAATGTAGTAAAATACAGATAAAAAAGTACATTAAAATTGAGATGTCTTGCGCAGTAAACAAAAGACATTAAATTGTCATTTTAATAATAAAATTCAAAAGACCCACTCATTTCAAAGGCAGGTCGATCGTATTTCCCCAGAAATCTTTAATTAACCCTTCAATGCTTTGACCAAATCGTACTGGGTGATTAAGCACTGGCTTTTCAGAGGAAGGCTACCAAAAAGGCCTACTATAAGAATTTTAACTATATACTTTCACATTGTGAACAACTTTCTGGTGAACGTACACCAAATATAACACAAACCAATGTATTAATGCACAATTTATTGATATTTGTAACTATACATTGTACAAAATGTCAAAGTCACCAAATTTGACAAAATTTAAAGCAGTCTGATATACAGAAAGCAAAAAGCTTTACTTTAATATTTAAAATGAAAATCATAAAAATATGATTTTTGGTCATTATACAAACTCTGTGAGGAACTACGGACTACAATAAATTAATATCAAACAAAAGCTCGGGTGGTATCAATGATTCAGGCTTCAAATTCAGCCTTCGTTTTCATACCAATTACAAATCGTTTCCAAAATCAATTTGTTCATATATTACAAGATAATTCAAAGGATGAGTGCTAATCTCTCTCTTTTTTGGTTTAAACTAAAGGTTTAAAAAATACATCATTATCAGCATACAGTGAAATGTGAGAACTTCGCAGCAAAAAAAAAAAAAAAAAATCAAGTAAAGTGTTAACCTTGCAGTGATGGTTGATTGTTTGTTTGCAATGATGTTGGTTGATTGTTGTGCTATTTTTTATGTTTTGTTCTTTTACAGTATGATTTTTAAAAATAGATGGTTGATTTAATAGTGTTGTCGTGATGATTATTGTTACTTTTTTAAAGTGCTTGTTTTATTTATAAATAAATATTTTGGCCAGTTCATGTTAAAGATAAAACTCCATTATGTTCAAAAGAGAGATTTTTTAAAATTGTATTGATGTCCTATGTTATAATACATTGATGTTTTGCTGTTTACTAATGTATTGATGTTCTATCTATGTTATTATGTTGTTTATTTAGAGTGAGGTTTTGTTATTTGTTTTATTACATTGTATTATTATATATATTGATGTATTCTTGTTTGTTTAAGCAACATATTGACGATTTGTTGTTGTTTTCATAGCAAGGTTCTGTTGTTGGTTTTCATAGTTTGTGTGTAAAGTATCGTTCAGCTTTTTGCCTATGCAGTATATTAATGCTTGTCTATTGGTTTTTTAATTTGTTTTATTCTGTGTATGTCTTTTATAGATGCTTGATTGTTTAGTAACGTTTTGTTATCTATTTATGATATTTTATTGTTTGGTTTATAGTTTTGTTTTGTTGGCTGTTTACTTTGATTGTTTTATTATTTATAGTGATATTTTGTAAATATAGTGATGTTTGTTGTTTGTTAATATAGTGATGTTTTGTTGTTTGTCCATACAATTATGTTTTGTTTGTTTGTATAGTGATGCTTAGTTGATTGCAGTGATGTTTTTTGTTTGCTACTAGGATATGTAGCTGGACGGAGTTATACAAAGATATAATGGTTTTCACTTAATAGTGATCTTTAAACGTGCAATGGTAATCACTTTGAAGCGTTACTTGATTTAACATTTAAACTAATACTTGTTGAACACTGATATTTTTAACAGTATTGAAAATTTATGGATATATGTCGATATTTCATATTGATGAAAAATTAATACTTGATCAAAGATATATCATAGGAAAAGCAATCGAATAGTACCCCTCGTAAACAAATAAGTCAAGAGTGGAAATCTAAGAAATTAATTCAGAAAAAATACATAGAATTTGACTGAAGAATGGAACTGAGTTACAAAAAGAACGTTTAGGAATCTCACAAGCAGAAAAACATCCTTCCTGAAAACACGAAATCGGTAGGATATTTTATTATGAGAATATTTTGTGACAGTACTGGACACAACCATCACAAAGACAATCGTGACTGTTATTGATATCTGACAAAAACCAAACAATTAATCGATTTTATGATGTATCTTACTCATAGATAATTAATATCATTAATAATTGAAGGGAAAAAATGCAATTTTGCATTCAACTATTAAAGAAAATAAGATAAATATTAATGTTAAGGTCAGTATGATTAAACAGTTGACAACTTCATAAACGTGTGGTTTAAAATCAATGTAAGTAATTAATACCTTGATTAATTAAAATGTCACTTTAAAATGTATAGATTGTAAAAATCTGTACAAAGGAACTGGTACCATTTGTTGTTTCGTCACCTCTTATACACAATAAAGTAATGACATTTAAATCTATTCAGCATTATGCACCGAGTTATGATCATTTCTGTCATCCAAAAAGTCGATTCAATCAATTTGTTTTCACATAATGGTAAAAAGTTTAAGGAATAAAATCTCGTTCTTTCCTAAAAAATGCAAAAAATCTACAGCTGATTTATTAAAAATGCACTGCACATGACCATTAACATAAAGCATTAACATTATTTATCTCTAGAACCTTATTTTTCCAAACACTTTCGATATTCAGCGCATTCCAACATTTCAGGAATGCCTTTTATATGAATATTGCTTACACAAATCAAGCAAGTCTTTAGATTTTCATTTCACTTAAATATAAACAATTTCGATATGTTTTTAAGTATCATCTTTTATCGATATACCAGTAAACAGAATACCATTGTGAATCATCTATGAAAGACAAATTAATGAATGACTTAAGTAAATGCTATTTTGTTTCTCAGTTTACACTTTTGCAAGATAAAAGCAGAACTTGTTTACTCGATGCAAGACAATGACTCGATTTTGTGAATTCCTTCCCCCACAGCAGTGCTACTTGCTTGATCACAGTCTATCATTTTTCTTTTTTCGATGCAGCTTTGAAGATTCCTCCCGCCCTGGAGTCTTTTTGGGTACCTAAAAAGAGACAAGCAATACGGAGTAGGAAACTTTACAGACAACCCCTAAATCATAAAGAAAATCCAAAATTCCAGTCTTTACCTTTTTGCCAACTTTACATAAGATTTCTTGAAGTGGTATAAAAATTCCATGGTCCTTGGGGCAACTAAAGTATCTTCTGCCATTGAGGATTCCATCATGTTTCCCCACTGAAAAAGTATTTTGTGTATTTGTATTTCATATCGTTTTCACAATAGTCAAGTGAATACAGGCTTGCCATGTACACTTTTTCCTACTTACTAAAATTCAGTGTGTCTATGCCTTTGACAGAGTTTATTTTATTTCATACTTACAATAACGCAGTGAACGCATTGGTTTTCTTTGCTTTGGGACTATTTTATTTCATTTTTACAAAAGCGAAGTGAATGTATTGGTTTCTTTGACTAGGACTATTTTTATTTCATTTTCACAATAGCGCAGTGAATGTATTGGTTTCTTTGTCTTACACTGGGGCTTTTATAAATTTCATTATTTTCTACAATAGCAAAATGAATAAGAAGGTTTGTTTTCCCTAGACTGGGACTATTTTTTTTTAGATTTCATTGCAATAGCGCAGTGAATGGATAAGTTTCTTTGCCTAGGACTGGACCTATGTTTTTTCTTGAAAGTATCGAGATAATGAACAATATTCAAGCTTAAAGGTCTATTAAACAATACAAAAAAATGGAGCAGAGCAAACACGGACCTCTAAAACATCAGAGTTGGGATCAGGTGCTATGGAGGCGTGAGTATCCTCTGCCGACAGGTCAAACCCGATGTGTGCTCCTTGTCATGATCGGGAAATAACGGAAAAATCCGTCGTCAATTCAGTGTATATGTAATGAACTAACAATTAGTATGAAAAACGTCAGTCAGCATTTGACTCAGTGATAAATTATATTTTTTACAAGGTCATTGTATCGACCATAGAACTTTGGAAATGATGACTTTAAACGAGACTGCTAATATTCTTCAATAATTTACCTCGTTTAAGGAATTGTTCATACATAGCTCTTGCTTGTGAGCAATTTCATATGATGCACTTGTGTATCGAATCAATTGAGAGATATAAACCCCATATGCAGGAGATGAGCAAGTATATTGCTGCATGAAGGATATGGAGATAACGAACAGTATTCAATATCAAAGTTCATAAAACAATACAAAATTCAGTGTAGGAGCAGAGCATACACGGACCTCCAAAACATCAGAGATGGGATCAGGTGCCATGGAGGCGTAAGCATCCCTTGCCGACCAGTCACACCCGCCGTGTGCTCCTTGTCATGATCGGGTATTCAGTGTATATATAATAAACTAACAATTAGTATGAAAAACGCCAGTCAGCATTTGACTCAATGATAAATTGTATTTGCTGAAAAGGTCATAGTTTCAACTGTAGAACTTACGATATGATGGCATTAAACGAGATTGCTGAATTCTTGTTTCATCAACTTGTTTGTCAATAATTTACCTCGTTTAGAAATTGTTCAAACGTGGAGCATGCTCTTGTGTATCAATCAACTGAGATATATAAACTCCGTATGCAGTATAAGTAAGGTAAGTTGACGATTGAAATTAATTTTAGTCATAACGCTTATCATAAAGATTGGTAATTAGATAACAATTAACGTCTTTCTTAAGTAAAATATCTAAATGTGAAACAGATGTGTCAGATTCTGTGGTATCTTTTATTTCAAGCTGATCAGGATATATCGTATTGACATGAGAATGGAAACACTAATATAGTGTAACTATTGTTAATTGACAATGCGTCGTCGATATATCTAAATGTCGACTTGAAGGCCACAGCAAGTGTTTCCTTTATTTCATGTATAAGATTTTGGTCAAATTCTGCTTCATATGAATACAAAAAGTAAGGTCTGTTAATAATGGTGCCCCATTGGAACCCATGGGAATTCCAATAGATTGTTGGAAGACCTAGTCTACAAAATCCACAGATATTGCCAATCAGAAACTCAAGCATCTTTTTTTTTTAAATACTTCAAAGAACTTGCGTACACAATCAGATTGTGTTTAACAAAATAATTTTGCAAATGACAAATGAAAAGATAAGTAGATTTACGAGTTCTACTGAAAATAACACCGTGAATGCATTTTCTGGGCCTTGGACAGGGTCTATTTTATTTCATACTTACAACTGCATCGTGAATGCATTGGTTTCTTTGCCTTAGACTGGGTCTGTTTTATTTCATACTTACATTAACGCCGTGAATACTCTGCCTTTGACTTGGTGGTCATCTTACCTGGGAGGTCCAGTTCCAGTCCAGCGAACAACAGATTGGATTGTGCTTGTTTGTCCAGATGACCAATATATCGAATTTGGCCGCTTCGGTCACCTTTAGCGACCACGTGATCATTCAGCTGTACTTGTAGTTTGTGACTAAAAATACAAATCATAGGGCTACAATTTTCTAGAAGCTTATTGTAAGATTAAAGTTAGCAGTCATGCTCTTGTGAATGTCTCGGAAGAAAATTCGTATTTCCCAGGATTTTATTTGGGTTCCATGTCTTTGAACTGTACATGATGCTTAATACCACTAGTTTATAGCTAGGGCTGGGTATTGGCCCGAGATTTCGTATTGCGATATACCTGGTATTGCGATATTTTAAACCGTATTGCGATATGTATTGCAATATTTTCAAGGTAATAAAAATGGCATTTTCGTACTAAATTTACTTTAATTTACATGCAGAATGTACATAACTATGATAAGTAACCAACATGGAAAAAATCTTGTTGATTTCAGTTAAGTTATGCTCTGAAATGTTCCAACAAAACAACTTCTGACTTACTGTTTGGCTTAATAACAAACTTTCATAAGTCCATTTTTATTTTTAATGACAAATTTTCTTAATGTAAGTATATTACCAATATATCGATATTACAAAATCGTATTGCGATGCGATATTCTTTGTCATTGTATTGCAATATATTGAAATATCGATATTATTGCCCAGCCCTATTTATAGCTGATTTAACCATTTTAGTTGAAATTCAATTATTCTCTTCCAAATTAGCTGTTTTCAGTCTAATACGTTCAATCAAATTTGAATGTTAACAACAACTCTTATATGACCATTTTATTTACGCCTTCAAAAAAGTAAAAGACATGAAACAATAAAAACTTTACTGAAAAATATAATCCACTAGATATAACAAGAGGCCCACGGGCTTTATAGGTCACCTGAGCATTATGCAACAACTTTCCAGTGATTGAATTTGATTCATGTTTTAAACCAGATGCTATGCTATTCACAGTTTTGAAAGAACCATTGATCATCATAACAATACACTTAGCAGTTGCTTAGTTTGTTTACTTAATACCCATAGGCAGGGTAGGGGAACAAAAAATGCATTTCAAGTAATCAGTAATATTCAGCAATAATCAGTAATGCCCCTATCACACATCAACCCCTGACCCTTAAGCTTAGATACACACATTGCATAATTTTTGAAAAGGCACCCTTGCTTTTCAAAAATATTTGATTAATACCAAGGAGCAGATTTCAAACAATTCATCCAGTTTCAGTATATAAGTACAGTCCCCCCTATGGTACCCCTGACCCTGGGGCCTTGAAATTCACAATTCTGGAAGATTAGCAACCTTGCTCATCATAACTATATAGGTAGTTCATCTGCTTAATACCCAGGAGCAGAGAAGAATACTTTCAAAGATTTAATGTATTTTCACTATATAATCAATAGAGCCCCGCCCTATCACTAGAACCCCTGACCCTGGGGCCATAAAATTCACAATTTTAGTAGAAGCACTCTTGCTCATCATAACTATGCACTTAGTTAGTTTATTTAATACCCAGGAGCAGAGAAGAAGATTTTCAAAGAATTCATGTATTTTCACTATATAATCAATAGAGCCCCGCCCTAACACCAGAACCCCTGACCCTGGGGCCATAAAATTCACAATTTTAGTAGAAGCACTCTTGCTCATCATAACTACGCACTTAGTTAGTTTATTTAATACCCAGGAGCAGAGAAGAAGATTTTCAAAGAATTCATGTATTTTCACTATATAATCTATAGAGCCCCGCCCTAACACCAGAACCCCTAACCCTGGGGCCATAAAATTCACAATTTTGGTAGAAGCACTCTTTCTCATCATAACTATGCACTTAGTTAGTTTATTTAATGCGCAGGAGCAGAGAAGAAGATTTTCAAAGAATTCATGTATTTTCACTATATAATCTATAGAGCCCCGCCCTAACACCAGAACCCCTGACCCTGGGGCCATAAAATTCACAATTTTGGTAGAAGCACTCTTGCTCATCATAACTATGTACTTAGTTGGTTTATTTAATACCCAGTAGCAGAGAAGAAGATTTAAAAAGAAATAATGCATTTTCACTATATACTTATTTAGCCCCGCCCTAGCACTAGAACTCCTGACCCTGGGGCCATGAATTTCACAATTTTGGTAGAGGACTCCATGCTGATTACAATCATGCAAACAATTTAACTGCTTGATGTCCAGGAGTAAAGAAGAAGATTTTTAAAGATTGCATTAATTTTAGTGGTTTTTGCCCCACCCCCCAGGCCCCAGGGGGGCAGGGACCATGAAATTCACAATTTTTGTTCCCCTTCACCCATAGATGCTTTTTGCCAAATTTGGTTGAAATTGGTTCAGTGGTTGCAGAGAAGAAGATGAAAATGTTCAAATGTTAACGCACGACACACAACACACAACACACAACACACGACGCACGACGACGGACGAAAACAGATAGCAATAGGTCACCTGAGTTTACTCAGGTGACCTAAAAATGCATAAGATTCGCTGAGATAGCATGTTCATTTATATGGTTCAAGATGATAAATTGGTAAAATAAAAAATGACTGTTTTAAAGAGAGAATTTAATGTCAATGAATTAATAGCTACACCCTTTAGTAACATGCAGAAGGAGTGTATAAGTACTATATTTCTGACAATCTTCACAGTCTCAGATGAATACATTTAATACCAGACCTGACTGAGAAGGTTCTTTTCTCTGTTAAAGCTTGGTCGGCTTCCCATATGTACTCCGAACTCGAGAACACGGCTTCACACGCACTACATTTACAGCCAAACAGAGGTTGGGACAGGTAGGGAGATATTGGTGTCACCTTATGTTTCAGATACCTGAACAAAGAAAACATTACATCCCGACAAATGTACACCCTGAAATTCATCCTTGTTTTTTGACATTCTTGCAGTTGTAACGGTGGAAATACATGTATTTAAATTCTAATTACATGATGTTTCATATGAACATAATCTGACTTACTTTTCATTACATTTAGTCTGTCGATTATTGTTGTTAAGCGATTTCTTTTCCAGGTATTCAAGTTTGGTTCCCCCTACTTCATTTTCAATTATCAATCTATCGTACGTACAACTATCGATCTTGTAGGGCTATGTAGATTAAATAGAAATAAGTAAAATCAAATAATCCGTCTATATAGATAAAAAATATATAACTCCAAAGAACTTTTTTTATACATGTATTGCTTTAAAATTGCCAACCTCTAGTTCTAATAATCGTTTCTTCAGAATCTCTATTTCTTTCTTCGCAGCACCCAATTCTTCAGTTAATTTTGAATTCAGCAACATACCTACATTTAAAAGAAAATTGTAATTACAATATTTCGTTAAACATAGAAAAATATATAAAATAAGATATGTAGAAGTAAATCATATTCTTAACACACATTAACGGAAAGCCAAATTTTCAAAATGTATAGAGCTTTTCTGATCCAAACTATCGAGAGTTCACAGTCTGAAATACTCAAAAAGTCTTCTGTTTGTGACTTTTCCGATATTTTGTAGGGTAGTAATGTGATGACTAATAAAATTACTTACATGAAACAAAAGATGATAAAGTGTACTTTTTCCCTCATTTTACTCATTTGAAATTTTATAGATCCTGAATATATGCAGTCAAAGAAGAGTGAAATTTGAAAAATGAAGATAATGAACAATAATCAAGCTCGAGTCTTCTGGAAATGAAATACTAGTATGAAGACAACGAACAGTAATAGTGTTCTAAAGTATGCTTTAGAGCAGAGTAAAAAATATCAGAGGTGGGATCAGGTTCTATGGATCTATGGAGGAATACGATTTTCCTGTCAATCGATCACACCTTATCCTGACTGGGCAAAGGGGAAAATCAGTAGATGGTTCAGTGTGGAAATAGTTGCTTTACAATTTGTATGAAAAGGTCAGTAAATATTTTACTTAAAGATAGATTGTATTATCTCACCATTTAATTACTGGGACAATAGAATTTGCAAAATGTTGCCATTGAACGAGACTGTTAAAATCTTTGTATCATCGACTTAAATATTATGAGCTTGTCTCGTTTTAGAAATTATTCGTATGTATGTTCTTGCGTACCGAATCGACTTGGAGACATTCCTTTACATGCAGATAGTAATAGCTAGTATACCGTGTCACTGTGATTTAAATAAGGGAAGTAAACGACAGAAAAATTAAAGCCTTAAAGTTTTTAAAATAAAGTTTTCATGTTATTTTGATATTGTTGTCCCTCTCTAGTAATATATCTAAATAATTCGTCGGTCTCTGTGGTGTTGAGCTCAAAAGGACCTATCGAATCAAAGTAGGAATGGAAATGAATCTTGTTTATTCATAAAACGTCATCAATTAGCGGTATCTAAAGTCGAATTGAGGGCCACAGAGAGAGACCTCTTTTCATGTATAAGATTTTGAACAAATTTAGCTTCATATGAATACAAAAAAAGGTCTGCCTCTAACGGGGTACAATTAATACCTATGGAAAATCCAACAGATAGTTGGAAGAATTGATCTCCAAAAATGACAACCAGAAAACATCTTTTTAATATTAACTTCGGGCCCCTTGTATGTATAATTTTTAAAAGAATATTTGCAGATGGCCATCGACTGGATATGTAATTTTACTTCATTTGTACTGAAAATCAGTTTGCTGTGATGTTGAAAACATGGACTTATCGTGGGGGTAAGTTTGCATCAAGTTGAAAAGTCATACCTTTTGATGTTATTGATGAAACATTTAAACAATAAAATGCTTTCTTTGTTTGTTATTACTAGAATTAATGGTCGCAGCTATTGCAGAAAAAATTTACATAACCCGCTTACCATTTTATTGTTTATATTTATATCTGTTTAAATAATTATTCAAAGTAAGATTAAAAAGATTAATTATTGTATTAATGATGCGAACGTCTTTATACGTTTCATTGATGGAACAGCCACTGACCAAGAAATCTGTGCAGGCGACATGCCGATTGTAATTCATGCAGTGATTAACGCAATGGGTTTTCTTAAGAAATAAAGGAAAATATTCAGCGGATGTAAACATATGGAGATAACGAAGATTCAAGATCAAAAGTCCATACAGCAATACAAAATAGGAGCAGAGCAAACACGGACCTCCAAAGCATCAGAGGTGGGGTCAGGTGCCATGGAGGAGTGAGCATCCCCTGCCGACCGGTCACACCCGCCGTGTGCTCATTGTCATGATCAGAAAAAATCCGTCGTCAATTCAGTGTATAAATATTGAACTAATAAACGTCAGTCAGCATTTGTCTTAATGAAAAATTGTACTTGCTGACAAGGTCATTGTATCGATATTAGAACTTACAAAATGATGACTTTAAACGCGACTGTTGATATTCTTGTTTCATCAACTTGTTTGTCAGTAATTTACGTCGTTTCAGAAATTTTTCATACGAAGAGCATGCTCTTGTGTATCGAATCAGCTGAGATATATAAACTCCGTATGCAGGTGATGCAGGTAAGTAAGGGAAGTTGGCGATAGAAAAGTTAAAGTCATCACGCTTATCATAAAGCTTGGTTGTTAGATTACCATTAACGTCTTTTTCAAGTAAAATATCCAAATATGAAACAGATGTGTCAGACTCTGTGGTATCTTTTATCTCAAGCTCACCAGTATCGACGTAGGAATGGAAATTACTATTGTTAATTGACAATACGTCGTAGATATATCTAAATGTCGAGTTGAAGGTCACAGCAAGTGTTTTCATGTTTTCACGCCTAAGATTTTGCACAAATTCTGCTTCATATGAGTACAAAATAGGTCTGCTAAAAAAGGAGCGCAACTGGTACCCATATGAATTCCAATATATTGTTGGAAGACCTGGTCTCCAAAAACAACATCGATATCGTCAATCAAAAACCCAAGAATCTTTTTAATATCAACTTCAGAGTACTTGTATGTTCAATCAGAATGCTTTTTAATAAAATAATTTTGCAAATGACCAATGATTAGGTAAATAGATTTACGAGTTCCATTTCTATTTAAAAGAAACAGCTGTCAATGATGTCAAAAAGCCTGGATTTTAATTTTTCGTGAGGAATGGTTGTGTATAAAGTTGAAAAGTCGTAAGTTTTTAAGCTGTTGATTTTGGTAAAATTTTGTGATTTCAAATGGTCCAAAAGTTCCTTGGAATTTCAAAGTATCCACATCTGATTTACACCACTTCTTGAATATATTGTTGCACATTACTCTTGAAGTTTCTCCTTTATTACTCTTAATATCTTAGTGAGGTGCAAAGAAAGAGGCTTGGTTGAAAATTTACTGGAACCCGCTGTGTATCTTTGTAAGGGTTTTTTTTATGAAGTTTTGGAATCCCATATACATATGGTAGTTTAAATTCATTTTGGTTCTTTGGAATATTAAAAATATTCAAAACTGACATGTGATTTTGAAGAATTTTTTCCATAGAAAGGGAACTATGAGTATAAGTTGGATTACCACTTGTAGAATTAAATCCAAGTTCTTCTAAAATACAATTTATATAATGAGCCTTACAAACAAAGATGCTGTTACCTGCTTTGTCAGCAGGGACCAGTACGTACTGATCATGTTATTAATCTTATTCTTTTTTCACTTCTGGATTATTGAATACAGTAGGATAGATGGTTTTCATATTGTCCCTCAATCTTTTAATACGTGATTTTAACATGGATCTGATACATTTAATCCATTCTGACAAAGTGTCAATGTCTTATTTTTCATATATGGCCCATCGCCTGGCGTAATCTTCAACAGAATCCATAATATTTATGAAATTCCGACGCCAATTGAAGGATCGGGATTCCCTATATTTAGGACCTTTTTGATAAAAATATTCTAAGCGTAAATTTAGTTGAATTATATCTTTAAGTAAATATTTTAGGGAATCATATTCATAATTTTTTCTTCATTCTCCAGTGTCATTAACTCCATGTTAATTATGTTCAAAAATTACCCTTTGTCTCTGCCTCGATCTATAACACAATAGAGTGTGCTGTATATAGACTTTGAATGTTTTTCCAACTTTATAAAAAATATTCATTAAAATATTTCAAAAATAAGGATGTGATATGTTTAATATATTGATATATATGTATAATATAGCAGCACTACTTGGTATCGTTTCGTTAGTATTTGATTATTTATGCTTACTTTGAGCAAATTTGTCTTCTAAACTTTTCTCTGCTGTTGTAGTTGTGACTCTGAAAGAAAAAAAATGGATGCAACTCTTCAAAAACGTACTTTAATTAAAAATCAAATACTATGTTATTATGTATTTTTGTGTTTTATTGGAGAGTTATACAGAAAATATCAAAATACACTATCATTCTAGAGCATTCTATGAACTGACGGCTCCAACTTACGATTGATATTTTTCAACAATTAGCTCCCCCGAGCCTTGTCTCTCACACATTTCACTTTCTCTGTAATCCATCTCATTATGTTGTATACTACTCTCGCAGTCTCTGTCGGATGATGCACTCTTCTTCTTGTTGGAGTTTGTTCCCTTAGATTTCACCGTCGCTGAAGTTTCAGTACCGTCTTTATTGGAAGAATCACTTTTTGGAGTTTGTTCGTTTTGTGTAAATTTTCTCTCAGATTCTGTATTCTGTACAGTTTCATTCATTTCACATTCATTTTGATTTTTATTTTCCATCTCCGACTTATCGTCCGTGTTATCACATTCGAATATATCATCTTTCAAACTATTATCGTCTGGTAATTGTCCATTTTCATTAACCTCAGTGAAATTGAATTCAATATCCTTTGGTTCCGCATGTACCTCTGCTTCCGTTGTGCAAAAAGGATGCTCTTTGAGAGCTGCAAAAAGTTTGTTTTTATTGAAAAAAATTATTTTTAAACTCTCTAATTTGATCTACAGGTATATTATTCGAAGTCGGGTAATTTTTTACTAGTTCTCGTAGATGGCTAAAGTAATCTTACTGAAACTTCATAGTTATGATTTAAACTTTAGATAGTTGTGTGAACAATATTAAATTTTTGAAGATGACATTTATTTCCCTGTGATTTTTTTTTCTCATTTTGCAAAATTTTAAGACGGTTCTTTTTTTTACTGCTTTCATCTCCAATCTTGCACCCTTGGTCAGTTTGGGTAAAAAAAAATTCCTATTACTTGCCACAGTTTTATATTTTATATTTTTTCTCGAACAAACGATTATATTATTTTATTTTTAATAATCTAGACAATTTACCATCACAGCTTTCAGACCGTGAACGCTTTCCACGAAGAGAATATTGTCGTCTGTTAATTGGTTCGTCTCCATGACTACTGGCGGGTGAGTACTGCAGACTGGAGAGTCTTTGTCGATTTTTATCAAAATTTGGAGAGCTGCTGATGGTTGAACACTGACTGCATCGAGAACAAGGTCTGTTTCTATCCTGTAAAATGGAGGATAACAGTTGAGTAAATTACGGTGTTATTTATACAAATCTGAGGTTCGTGTCTTGGTACATTTTACACGTACAGAGGGGAGGTTAAATAGGAACTCTGCCTGGGCACTTTTCTCTGAGCTGTAGGAGGCCGGAGTTGGACTTATGGAATGACTAGTCTGTCGACTTAACGAGGACGCTGAATGGAGAAAATCCTTCTCTTTCTTCAAGATGAACACTTTCTTTTCGAGTCTGAAATGAATGTACATGTACTTAAAGGAGTTCTTTTTAACTTATTATTATAGCTCTTTTAAACGTGAGAAGTACCATTTTGGCCTTTGACCTGTTACCTTCGTTTGGCTCTCAGAAGATTGGCCACGTCAGCACAGAGAGGGACTATGCCCTTTCTGGTGCTATTGACAACAAAGGCCACTGCACGTGCCGCTATTTCCTTATCTTCCACCAGGTTGCCGAGTTCAACACTGCCCTCTGGATGACGTTAAAATATTAAAAAAGATAAATCATCGGAATTTATACCAACAGAATCAAAGTTTCAAAGACTTTATTTATGATATTCCAAATAATTCAAGGCAAAAAACAAAGCTGTCGAGTTTTCGAGAAATATAAATAAAGAACCAAAACACAAAAATCAAATATTTATAAATTTGTGACTCATATGTAACAGTAAACACCGTGATAAAAACTATGCCATGAGAGTCAAATTCTGCGAGCAAAGCCACATAATTCGGGTAAAGAATGTTTGTAATCTCGCCTCTCGTGGAATTTCTACATTGCTATTATGTAATACACAACATGGTGCGAGGTGAGACACCATTCAATGAAACCAAAAATATAGAATAATGTCAGTTTCCTTTATTGTAGATATGGCTGTTACAAACCTGCCCCCAAGTGAAGATCGGGTAAGGCCGTGAGCTCGTATTCACAGGACTGGACCCATGAACTGTTAGCATCCTCACTCACCGACGGGCTGTGCTCAAAACTACTGTTGTTTGTGTTCATTTTCACTCACGACGCCATTTTCTCTGTTGCAGAGGATGGGTTATTTTTCGGCATAGGGGGTTCAGAGCGGGGAGACGGAGTAGAGCGATGACGTCAGAGCTTGCCAATATATCTTGATATTGCTACATGATAGATGAATTTTAAGATGTCGATCTTTAGTATCCCGTTATGAGCCGAACATATAAGCTGCAAAAAACGGAAGTAATGGTAAATTTTATTTTATTAATTCACACAGCACAACCCTTATTTTCTTGCTGCGTAGGTTTGATAATATTATCAGAAATGCAAGAAATCAAACAAAGCCGTGACAATTACTCACTCGATGAATATTTGCAAGTGTTATACGTTAAATATTAATCCTCTACCTTGGTATTCTTTAAAGATGCAAGAATAATTCGGCATAATTTAAATACACAGAGACAAAATAACATTTATTAGTTTTAGCTAGCCAGTATTAACTTACATTACATTAATAATAGGAAAAAAACTCTCTATTTCTACTAAATATTCAGAAACAAATCCTACTGTTTTCGTTAAAAATATACATGTAATCCTTATTTTCCTCAAGTTATTTTACAACTGTTTTCAGTTACTTTATGTTCCTTATATAATTTTTGTAAACATCGACTATATATAAATTTATTAGTTTTATCGCACCAGTTTTAGAGATCTTTAATAATCCCTTGGAAGTTTATATGTACAGTGTACCTCTGTATAAATAATGGTTTGAGTACATAGACTGATCTTAAGAGTTGGAACTGAGTACATGTGTAAGTTTGTTTACTATAGTATTTAATTTAATATTTAATAATTCAAATTCAAATTCAATTTTCTTGTTACAAATATTGAAAATATACATGTTTTTATTTTACATATAATTTTGAAGACTCGTTTTCTTTGAAGTGGAGCTATGAGCAATAGATGGATTAACACTTGTAGAACCAAATCGTGTACAATCAGTATGTTTTTTTAACAAAATAATTTTGCAAATGACTAATGACAAGGTAATAAAAAATTACAAGTTCCATTTTTATCTATAAAGCAGCTGCCTAATGCATGAAGTCGAAAACCTAACTGTTAATTATTCCTAGGGGAATGGTTGTTTATTATTAGTATAAGTTGCATATTGTCTTGCATAATGTAAGAATTTTTTTAAAGCAATATAAAAAAATTTAGACGTAATTAAAACCCATAAATTTACATTGTAGCTTTTACTGACCCTATGTCTACACATTTGAGACGTTAAGGAAGAAAATTCATGCATAAATTGTTGATGCTACTTTAACCTATAAATTTACAATGTTTATGTTTTTTACCGGATTCCTAAATTTCATAAAAATTCTTACAAACAATGTTATATACATAGCGTGTTCTAGTATATACGTTATACTAAGCCTATTGGTAACATTAGTGAAAAGGAACTTCAGTATGGCATGTCAAACCTTGTAATATTTTTATCTTTTCCATTGCTATTGTTCAATTTTTCATTTTTATTGTATAATTTTCCATTTGGATTGTATAATTACTAATTTGTATCCTATATTTTTCCATTTGAATTGTATAACATTTATTTGCATTCTATATTTTCCATTTGTATTGGTAAAGAATCATTTGTATTGTACAGTTTTTTGTATTCTAGGTTCCAATTTGTATTCTATAATTTAATCATATAAATTGCATTTTAGAAGAACTTGGATTTTATTTTACAAGTGATAATCCAACGTATATTAATTGTTCCCTTTCTAAGGAAGAAATTCTTCCAAATCATATGTCAGTTTTGAATATTTTTAATACTAGTACTGTAAAATCACATATTTTCGTGGGGTCAACCTTTCGTGGTTTCAGTAAAAACTCTTGGTTCGCGCGGGGATTTGAATTCATGGATGAAGAAATGTTGAGTAGTAATGTATGTAGCCTAGTAGTATCCTAAAGAACCAAAATGAATTTGAACTACAGTATCTATATTGAATCCCTAACTTCATAAAAATCCTTACAAACAAAGATACATAGTGAGTTCCAGTAAATGCTCAACCAAACCTCTTTCTTTACTCCTCACTAAGAAATTAACAGTAGCGAAGGAGACACTTCAAGAGTACTGTGCAACTATATATTCAAGAAGTGGTGTAAATCAGATGTCGGATACTTAAAATTCCAAGGAACTTTTGGAACATTTGAAATAGCAAAATTTTACCAAAATCAACAGCTTAAAAACTTACTTTTCAACTTCCTACAAAATCAAAATTAAAGTCAAGGCTTTTTGATATCATTGATAGCTGCTTTTTCAATAAAAATGGAACTCGTAAATTTACTTCCCTTGTCATTGGTCATTTGCAAAACTATTTTGTTAAAGAACATTTTGATTGTACACACAAGTACTCTGAAGTTGACATCAGAAAGATGCCTGAGTTTCTGATTGACAATATCTAAACTATGTTGTTTTTGTACTCTGAAGTTGACATCAGAAAAATGCCTGGGTTTCTGATTGACAATATATACACTATGTTGTTTTTGGAGACCAGGTCTTCCAATAATCAATTTGAATTCCCTTGAGTACCAATTGAGCCCCGTTATTAGCAGACAAATTTTTATATTCATGTGAAGCATGATGTGTCCAAAATCTTATACGTGAAAAGAAGAAAACACTTGCTGTGACCTCCAACTCGACATGTAGATAAATCGACGACGTATTGTCAATTAACAATGGTAATATCCATTCTTGTCATACGATATATCCCGGTGAGCTTGAGATATAAAATACCACAGAATCTGATACATCTGTTTCATATTTGGATATTTTACTTGAAAAAACTTGATGGTTATATCTAACAACCAAGCTCTATGATAAACGTGTTGACTACAACTTTACAATCGTCAACTTCTCTTACCTATGCAGCAAGTATATGTTGGTAAACTTTTCCCGAGTACCATGAGATTTGGTGCCGAGCGAAGCGAGGGACCAAATCGAATGGCGAGGGAAAAGTTTAACAACATACTTAGTACATGATTCACACGAGTAATTAAGCCCTTTGTGTCTCTGTCTATTTAAATCTTTGTGTGTTTCTTATTATTTAATCAAGATACCCTGACTGCTGCCATTTTATACAGGACCAGATGTGATAATTATACCCTCGGGGTAATATCACGGTCTACAGTGAGTAGTTTTCAACACAATACAGGTTCATTTCTACAGATTCAAAAATCTCTGTATGAAGATAGTCATGTCATTTAAATGGATTTAAGTATGGAGCATTTTAGTTTTGTAAAAATTATTAAAAATTTGTTTTTTGGTGCTATAATTTATAAATTTCTCCTGAAAAGCAAAGAATTCCACTGAAAACGAAAAGCAGGAAAAGGAAGTTTACGGTTGGATGTACATGTACACTACTTGAACAATATAGGACGGTTCCTGCGTAATTTGAACATCTTTAAAAATCATAAATAGACTTTTTGCTGTGTCCCAATCAGTCCATATCTGTTTAATTGGAATCGAAGAAAAAAATCAAAGAGTAAGTAAATCTTATTGTTCCCACTTTTTGATGCGATAATTCTGAAAGTACGGTAAGTACCAATGTAAATGGTAAATCATAAAAATTAAATAGATTACTAGACATTTCTCATTTAATTTTGACATTAATTTCATTTTTTTTTAAGTTTCCATTTTGGCTAAAACTGAATATTTCAGGAAGAAAGACAAGGGAAGAGAGAGAGAGATCTTTCTTCCTGTACTAATTTTTGTAACTGTGTATATTTTTTTGACTATGTAGCGCACCAGGTCCATTATTCATTGTCTGTGACCTTGCCCTGTGTCCATGATTGTAACCTATCATTAGTAATGATTGGCTCAATAATTATGCACACAATGGCAGAGTCACCCAACCATGAAGCTTGGGCTTGGGGTGTACCAAGTGATGTGGTAGCAGAAAAACCCTTTGTTCGAGGTGTGAAACATATACTAATATACCTTCGTCACCTGCATACGGAGTTTATATGTCTCAGTTGATTCGATACGCAAGAGCAAGCTCTACGTGTGAACAATGAGGTAATTTCTTATTGATAAACAAGCTGATGAAACAAGAATATCAGAAGTCTTTATTTCGTAAGCTCTATGGTCGATACAATGATCGTGACAAGGAGCACACGGTGGGTGTTACTGTTGGTAGGGGGTTTAAACTAGTAAATAAACAATCATCCTAAACTATACATTTGAAAAGTTCTCGAATTCAAATGAATTTTTTTTACAATACATTTAAGAAATTAAACAATGCATATGGAAATATAGAATGCAAATGAAAAAATTATACAATTAAAATGTTTTTTTTTTTCACTTTTTTTACAATACAAGTGGAAAATATAGAATAAAAATAAAATATATATATATAAAATTCAAATGGAAAATTATGTAGATTACAGATGGAAAATTGTAGAATACAAATCAAAATTTCACAATACAAATGGAAAATTTTACAATATAAATGGAAAATCATAGAATACAAATCAAAATTAAACAAAACAAATGGAAAAGATCGAATATTGCAACGTTTGATATACTTTACTTCAGGATTACTGTGCAACAAAATATCCGAGAAGTGGTGTATATGGATACTGAAAAAATCCAAGGAAATTTTGGAAAATTTCATATCACAAAATTTTAACTAAATCAACAAGATAGAAACTTACGACTTTTCAACTCCAAATACAACCATTCTCCAAAATAAACTTCATTCCAGGCTTTTTGACATCATAGACAGCTGCTTTTTCTTGTCATTGGTCATTTGCCAAATTATTTTATTTAAAAAAAAACACTCTGATTGTAAAAACAAATGATCTGAAGTTGATATTAAAAAGATGCCTGGGTTTCTGATTACCAATATTTTTGGTTTTTGGAGATCCAGTCTTTCAATAATATGTTGGAATTTCTATTGATACCAATTTATTTTTATATTCATATGAAGCAGAGTTTATTCAAAATCTTATGAGAAGAAGAAAACACTTGCTGTGGTCTTCAACTCGACACTTAAATGTGAAATTTTATCAATTAGTAATATAGTTATTTCCATTCATTTGTCGACACGAGTGAGCTGGAAACTAAACATACCAGAGACAGCCACGTAGCATCTTTTTTGAAAGGGGGGCAGCCAAAGAAATTTTTTTTTTTTAACTTACCTGAAAAAGTTGACAAGTAAAAAAAGGGGGTGCCCAAAGTCGAAAATCCTATTTCGTTGTGGGTGGGGTGGGGTGAGAG